GGAAAGTCAAGTACATACATATCGTACATATGTTTAAGTTTCAGAATGGGCAGGCAGACCGTCTACTTCGAATCAGTACGTGACTGTACCATGTGAATACGGACTGTTCCTGTCGCAGGTGCCACTTTTGTTAGTAACCTCCTTAATTTTCCAAACTTACTTAATGAACAATTCGCAGAATGCCGCTCGCTTGTCTGCACAGTTTATATTGGTGCAGTTTTGGGTTTAAAGTCCTCGGCACTGGCGAATATATGATCGAACAACATACATGTCGGCAGGAAACGGTAGTAGAAGTAAAGTAGGGGGCATTCTATTCAGAGGAAGAGGTGGACTTTAAATATTTATTTGCCTTGCATAGTAAAACGACCTTTTCGCCTACGTCACTCAATCTCGACATGTCGATATCAGGGGTATGTCGACAAAGTGGTCAAAGGCGATATCCAGATGAAACACTTATCTCGACATGTCGATATCGACATGCTATAAGGGCTGTGGGACACCACTTTACACCTTTGCCCATTCCGAGGACGAGCTACCAAAAACGACTCATTACACTCTGGATGACTGAAAACTTCGGATCCATTAAAGCGCTCTTCCTTGCATTCCTATATTCCAGATCTTATGTAAAATAAGTCTGTTTGGGACACTATCAAGGGCCTTTTAAATAAATAAATAAAACAAAACTTGAAAGCACATACGCTCTCTGGGAAAAATAGAAAACTATTAAGTAAATTTACGACGTCGGTTCCTCGTATCGTTGTCGGACTCGAGCAAATGCGCAAAAAACTATTAACATTTCAGACGGACTGAGAAATCAATACTCATTTGGCACTTCAGCCAGTAAGCGACCGTCGTGTGCGTCAGTCTGTATAGATTGGCTTTCGCCTCTTCCACTTTTCCCGAGATTTTTGTATGTGGCATCTAACTCAATGTGCCCAATGATGCATGACTCACCGTAGTACATTGTATCAAGAAACGCTCATCATTTTTTAGATGCGCAGACTCCGACAATGCGAGTTTTGTCCCGTGCGAATGTGTGTTTAGTATCAAAGATGTGTGCAGCCATTTGGGACAGGTGATCTCGCCTCTTAAATGCCAGCTGATGTTACGGGATGTGTGTAAAGACATACTTTCCCGCTTGGCCACAATATACAGCCTCATAGGCATCGCATGGGATCGTATAGACGACTTCCTTTTTATTAAGGACCCATCAGGGTCACCTAAAAGGAAGTAAAAATAAATTTTCCCATAAAGTTTAGACGAGGTAGCCAGAATCTGTATAAAATGCAATTCATTGTTTCTGAATTTGTAGTCCTTTAAGAAAAACTGATGCACGAGCAGTGAAAAAGTCCATTATATGATAAACAAAATGATTCAGTTGACTTTAAAGGACAAAAAGCAGTCAGGTTCAGTTTCAATTTATTTGAGGGAAATACAGGTGTTGAATCTTTGAACTCCCTATTTGCTACAAGGAAGCGAATTATGTCAAAAAATTTAAAATTAAAAACTAAAATAGCGACAGAGTTTCTTCAGATTGGCAAAGGTTTCGAAACCACACCGATAAACGATTCATACACATTCACATTGACCCAATTGTGAAATACTCCGCGCCTCGGTGGGATTCGAACCCCCAGTAAGGGGGAGGCTTTGGTAACATAAACGTTACCAAATGTGCTGTACAGTACTCTGCCTATGCATAATTGGGGCCATGTCAGTTTCCGAGGGAAACGAATAGAAAAGAGAAAAATGCGGCCAGGACCAGCCTGCACGTGGCAGAGTATAACGGAGTATAAACGGACATCGTGTGTGCAGAAATAAATGTCAGTCATGAGGAGTAAATATGCGGGTCAGACAGGACTGGTCTGCATGGTGTATTGTATAAGGGATTCCAAACGAAAACCGTCGGGGCAGAATTCACACACTCGATGAGACTGTTCTTGTCAAAGTGGTGAGGCGAGAAGAAACCAGACGTGACTGGTTACAGTCCGCTCCGAGCCCAGCTGGAGAGTGGGAAGGGAGGTACGACCAAACTACTAGTAGACGGCGAATACGCAGGGTTCCGCCGTGAGCGTCGACAGACCGCTTGGGCTCGAAATTAGGAGAAGACATCGATAACCGCAGAAATCGTCGTTATGTTAAACAAGTGATAGCAGTGGATTTAGTAACCAATTAAAAATAAGGGGTTGGAAAGATATAAGTGAGGGTTTCAGCTTGATCTACCAATAAATCCTAGGAGGACTCTTCTCAAAGTCAAGAAGCTGAATGTTCGGAAATGAAACGATTGAAAGTGCCTTTATACTTTCTGGTGTAAGATGTCTTCGTTATTTTGATTTAAATACCGATATCTTAGGCGATGTCCTAGTTTCTGGTGGAAGATTATTCCAAAGGAAGGCATATTTGGAAGCAAAAAGGGGGCGCGCATATATGTAGTGCAAAGAGGCGGCAGAAGCATCATAACGGAGTGATAGTGTCAATAAGCGGAAGATTGGAGCTAGATTGAATGCAAAAATGGGAGCAAAGGCCAGCTTCGAGTCTTCTAACCCACAAAAACTTAATGTTGGCCAGCTGACATCTCCAAGTATAAGAAGTATCGGATGCGACTTAAGAGAACAGTTTCTGAATGAAAACACTCTGAACATTTTCCATTTTATTACGGTCACAGACGTTCATTAAACCAAAGAAAGGACAGCAGTGTTTGAGGATTGGAAGAACAAACATTTAATAAAGTCTTAGCTTCATTCCCTGAAGGAAACAATAATGCGATATGAGCCCACGTATCTGTGCAGCTTTGACAGAGATTCCATGTGCATGATGTGATAAAGCAATTTTTTTGTTTGACTTGAACGTGGGTCCCTTATGATGAAATGTCCTGGGAGTGAGTTATTTTGAAAAAATATATGTCAAGAGGCTCCAAGGTGAACGAAAGAAAGGAACTGGTTTGGACTCAGTAGTAAAGTTTTTTGCAAACAAAGCACTAAACAACTCCGCCTTGTCAGTGTCAGCGATGAGGAGGATTTTGTTATCGTTTGGCAGGGGTGGAAGTTCGTGACGACGCCTATAGGAGGACCGATGACGGAAGATGTTAACCACGGTTTTGCCACACTTAGAATCACTGACAGCAAGTGATTCTCTTTGTCTATAGCTCGCTTGAAGCATCCTTCGTGCAGGTAAGGACTCAGTCGGTTGGCGTAATTGTGAGGTAAGTGGCAGGTCATCTGAAGATGGTCAGGGATTGTTCTGCACAGTGCAAGAGTACTTTAAGAAATTATGCAATCCACTTATTTATCGATTGCGTTTTGGTTTGTTTCCTGAATGCGTGGTACGAAGTTGTCCGACGACCTATTTAGTCGATTTGTGAAAGCGAACTCAAGATCCCATAACCGAAAGATTCTGGACAACGACGATGCCTACATATTGGCAGTGACGCAGATAATAACATATTGCCAGTGACGCAGATAAGGACGCAGAAAAAACGTTACTATCTAACGCTCTTAACAAAATATCTTTCGACCTGTGTTTTATCTGAACGGCCTCCACCGATTCGGGAGGAGAATTGCTCTCCTAGTACGGGGTCTTCGCGTTTTGTTTGATTCCTGCATAAACATTGTTAGCAAGGGGGTCGCAGCAATAAGGAGGCAGCAATCAATAATAACCCTGGACAGGAAGTGCTGTCAAGCCAAGTGTTCCATGCCGCTGACGCGAGAAAACGGCGAGAAGGTGTGCCGCGTCAAAGGGCGACTAAAAACGGTAATAAGTGAGTGCCCAGATTGCGTAGTAGGGATAGCCAATGATGTATTAGGGATGGATATCTCGAAAAATTGTTATTTCGGGTGAAGTGTTCGAGCCCACCGGTTATGGATATTAAATACAGTTCCCTTGGTCCAGTACCACGTCGTCCCGATGGATGGGATGGATTCCACTGTCCAGAGTTAAGTTTGTGAAATTTGGCACCTTTTACAAGTAGGCTATTCAGCACCCAACATGCGCTCCAGATTATAAAATCCGTTTGATAAGGGAATTTTATCACTAATTTACTGGCATCTCACGAGGCAATCATGAACTAATACGCTGTACTTTCATACTTGCCGTTAAAATTGCAACTCTTTACGTGAACATGTCTAACTTCAGTCGCGGTATTTTACCGTCTCTGGAAATCAAAAAATAGTTTCCTCAGTCAAACACAGGCAGCTATAATTCCAATCTTCCCGGCTGCATCATTATGGCGGCCGGCGTCGTTAAAGGATGAAACTATGTTTCCTCGTATGGTCCTCCATCATCTTCTTAACTATTGGTTGGTGACCTCACTGGTTCACCTTCTCCTTTATACGGATCATTCTCCGCGTGCTTTTTAGGAGATATCGTTAACAAATGACCAAAGCTTTCCATGAATAAAGTAGCAGAGAATGGGGACGTCTATTACAATAGAAAATGTCAGAAAATACGCCGTACGTTGAACCATATAGCGTCAAAAACGACAAAAAACACTGGTCCTCACACTTTCTGGGATGTTGCGGTGGGGGTCGCAACCGGGAGAACAGAATCCGTGTTTTGCAGACTTGAACAAAAAAGCAGAGAGGCACACCTTACATTGAGCAGCGATCATTGTATCTAAACGATGACTGTTATATATTCAAACAAAAGGACCGTTTACATCTATTCTCCACAACGTACATCAACTCGATGTCGATTGCTTCCGGTGGCTTGTGACTCTCCTGGAGGGCCTCGGTCACAAAGTGAACCGAATTCCTCAAAAAACCGAATAAAACAACAGTTTTCTTTTCCTTTAGAAAGCAAAAATTATAAACTCCTTTGACTGGGCTGAAATTCGAGCGAACGTTGAGAAAAGGCGTCTCCTGCCGCTCCGCCTTTCCAATAGACAAAGATGTCTTCCACATGATTTGCATGTCAGCGCTGCATCCAAAGGTCATCGGCCAGATAAATAAAGATATCTTTGTTTGTGAAATTTGCTGTTTGAATATTTTATGGATGGAGCATCGGCAATGCGTCCAAACGAGTCAGAAAATGTCAAACTTTACACTGACACATATTCAGTTGACGTGAGTTCTTCGAAATATTCCCAGCTTTTTTCTTTCTTTTTGTGACTCCTGCCCTCCATTTGGCCCTATAATTATTTTTTGAAACCATTAATAGACATGCTTGTCGTGCGTCACTTTCTTTCCCACAGTTTAATTAAATTGTATTCGAATACAGATATTCACTTCTGGAAGCCGAGCACGAATCCAGAATCTACTAGGCCATTAAGTTAAAAAAATAAGCATTTGAATGCCATTGGAGTCCTAAACTGGGGGTGGTTTACAATGAGATCCCAGTCAACGTAGTACTCCACCGCCAACACCGCCTGAAAGAGGGAAGTGTCAGACTAAATGGCGTAGAGGACAGGGGAAAATCACTCAGGAATCAAAAAATAACAACTGCGCACGAGAATTAGACACCAACTTGGCAGTTACTGAAAGATAACAGAAACACGGACCAGGCAATCGAGCAGCTGTAAGGCAAACAGAGGACGAGGACGTCAGTCATGGATCAAAAGCATAGGCAAACATATGCACAGGCTGAGACACCAAGTGAAGGAATTTTTTTCGTATATAGTAATAGGGCTAAATAAGACGCTAATACACACTGGGCTCAATTGCTGGGTGTTGTTACTGTCTTTAAACCTTTGAATATGTCTAGGAAGCCAATGGCAGTCGGTGGGTTATTCTTTATTTGACTTCAACACAGATTCGATGAGTTTTTTGAGTGCTGTGCACACAGGTTTAGCGGCTAGCTCTAGGATTAGGCATTCCATAGGTCGGTGACACACAGTAAATGCCACCTGCCTACATACTACTTGTACAGCTTGTTGCGATGCCCAAGGAGACGAAAAATTCTACTCAGCCGGAAGACAAGGTCAGTGTCTGCAACGTGAATCCTATCAGCCGGTTCGTACGTTTTGTTGCGGTCCGGCAGTCTGGGAAGGTCGAACTCCACAGGTTATCAGCGTCTCAGGCTTTCCAAAGATAGCGAACAGGTTCTGCTGCTTCTCATCTGATCCTCCAAAGACCCACCATATCACGAAGGAGGTACGTGTATCAGACACGGAAGTTCTATTAGTTGGGACTTTGCAAGCGCCTTCGAATGTAAGAGAGTTTCTTGCGTGCTCTTGCGACATCCCGTAATTCTTCTTCGTCCGCAGCGGTTGAAATTCGTAAAGTTAGTGCGAAGAACGATCTGGTCTCCTGACACGTTCTCCACGCACAGTTGTAAACACACATAGGTACTGATTACTTACACTAAATTGCGATTGTTTTACACCTACCGCAAGTTCCCAGTGGCGATCTATACACTCACTTGAACCACGGCCTTTTAGCCAGAAGTGTAATTATGTCTGATCAAATTCTTTATCTCTTTCGGCAGTTGTAACCTGACCGAATTTATGCGTACTTCCATTTAGGCCGATGGTTTCCTTATGATCATACGAAAGCAGAAAATATTGTTTCTGTTGTTCATTTAAGTTGTCAGTTATTCTCGTCGTGCAATTTTAACGTTGCTTGATATTTAGAATTGTCTTGGAAAACCGTCAACTCAGCATAAACAAAGTTGGCAAAACCAAAAGGGGAGGCTGAAGAAAAACATTCGGAGTGTTTTTATGAACCGAGGCAACAGTCGTCGAGTACGTATTACGGATTTTTGGCATGGCCACTATTTGAAGTTTCCGACACTTTCTGACCAAGTTACACGTTATAAAGTGGTCAACATGAGTTTACCAGAAAATGAGCTTTTACTAAGAGTGTAATTGCATTTAGCTTGGAAGAGACGCTCACAGATTTGGTTTCAATACAAAGCGTGCGCTTCCATTTGTGGCCTGAAAGTCCAGTCTAGAACATTCGTCTGGCTTAAGGGCCGGAGTCTGCTTCTGAACCTGGGATTAGTGTGACTAATGAACTAAAAATGGTTGTCTTAGCCTTCCTTGTCTTTACTATATTCTTTCTATATGATTGCGCTCTCTGCATGCACTCTCAAGAAGTTACACGTGGCCCAGTTTAATAATTAATACCCAATTGCCTTGGAGCGGCTCGATTTGGCTGGGCAATTTTACAATGATTTGCTTGCAGTGTATTTGCTTCGGACGGACAAACAGGGGAAGGAACGTATATTTTCTTTCGAAAGCCCTGTAACGATTCAACGGACTTAATCACACGTAACTTGCGGTTATCGTTTCAGCTCAGCTTTCGTAATCCTTAGACACCGTAATAAGTCAGCTCACTGGACCACATTACGTTCCAGTTTGGAACCGGTGGTTGTTACTAAGGAGTAGATATTTTTGGTCGTTCCCGTTATAACTATATTCCAACCAGTAATTCCGGCGTCGACATAATGTACATTGATTTATAATCGCATGCGATTTTAGCATCGTCACTGTCACGAATGACGTCAAGTAAAATTGGAGTGTCTCGATTTAGTAGTTCCTTACGATCGTTAATTACTTGAAGGAAAAAACCAAAGAACCGAGGGAGGATGGAATAGTCATCTTCCATGTATTAGCCGTTGTCGGCCAGCTATACACCAATCCCAGGTTCGCATATCCCGGGACTTGATGCTGCACTCTGGTTGTTAAACATTAAGTGAATGCTTTGCCACCAAGTAACAGACTCGAACTTTGAACTCTAAGGTATGATCAGATTGGAATTTTCTCTACTGTCGGCCGATATCCGAGTGCGTATCTGATGTTACAACGAAATAGCATTCGTTTGGGAACATTTGTAACATGACGATATTATCGGTTAATGGGTTCGTATCACGACAACGCAATACCCGTATTAAGTCGGGATTTTAGGACTTGTTGTTGTAGGATGTGAAATCCTTAGGAACCTCTATAAGACTTGCCTGGTTCTTTGGTAAGTGCTCAGATTTTGTTCCTTCGAGTTCATTCATTAATATTTATTATAAATACCAACTTTTTCTGTTTTCAAACCCTCTAAGCAATATATCGGGTTCTTCCTAAGTCATTCACTGCGACAACAAGCATGATTCCATTACTTTCGACCTCAATTTTTCTTTTTCAGATCCCCCGGTCCGCTTTAGTCTCTTCAAGCATGTTTTTCCAAGCAGCTTTTGAGAGTGGAATGTCAGAAACGCGTTCTGGACGATTCTTTTTGCCCGAGTTTTCCGACCGACAGCTCCAACACCTTGCCAACTTCACATCTAACCTTCATCTGTTTGCCTCTGATTCATCGTCCCCTCCGAATAAGTCCAAACCATCTACCGCTTTAGAGAGTGTTCTGGTGCCTTCGGTTACCAATGAATGTGAAAAAGAGGAAAAACTATGTCGAATAATTGAGGCTACTCTAGTTGCCGATTATTTGCAAATGCCTTGCTTCAAGAAACAACTCGTTGATTGGCTTCAGGAGTTACTTTCTTCGGCTTGTGATAAATATTCGGCCTGCTTTTCTCAAACTCATCGCTGTAGCTTCTTCACTGAGGCGCTTACGATCCTCTCCGATCGGCGACTGCACGACCTCAAAAGGGTGTTTGTAGAATATCTCTATCGTTTTCCCCAGTTTTTCTTCAGTCCCCGATACGCTGCCTTAGACATCACTCAGTCCTCACTTTCCAAGCTAGTCGTACGGTGGCTGTCCTCAGACAAATTATACTTCAAGTCTGAGGACGAACTTGTTGATATCGTGAGTGATTGGATCCAAATGTCCTGTCAGTCCAAACGGCGTTATTTGTCAAACGAACGTCGCTGTGAACTCCTCCTCACTTTAACGTCCCCACTTAGACTGGGTTTGCTCAGTTGGTACGGTCTGCAAGCCTTAATCTCCCTTTTGAATGAAAATCTGACCCTCGTTGCGGAAGACTTCTCCCTGAATTGTCTTCTCCTCGTCTCGCAAGCGTTGATAGCGCGCGATCTCTGTTCTTCCATACAGTCCGCACTCTGTGCTTCCCTCCTTCCCACCGACCTTCGCAACTCTCTCGGCTGCCAAGCCTTCAGACAAAGGGCCAATGTGCCTGTTTTGACGTTCATCGTCAAACAGGACTTTCCCATGCCGGCAATCTCGGCATATTTTATCGACCTGGTACAGGGACGTAGTCTTTGTTCCAGAATACCCTCTTCCGTGGAGTCGGCCTTCCTATCGGAGCCCAGCGAAAGCAACCCGATACACCTCTGCACTGCGGAACTACAGGATTGTCAGAACCTGGTATTTCTTTTCATGCATCAAGTAAACGTTGCCTGTGTGCGCGGTTGCGTGTGGAATCTGGCAACTTTAGAGGCAGAGTGGCTTCCACCATTGAGTCTGAAACATAGTATGTTCAACTGGGCCGCAGACTCACACCACTTGTCTTTCGCGGCACCGCATTCTGTCGGTGTGGTCTATTCGGCAGATGGCCTTGTGGTCTACTGCTCATTCTCAGTTCTTGGCGACGCAGTACTTTGTCTCTACCAGTTCGATCCCGGCAGCTGGACTTGGAAGCCTCTAAGCCCGCAGAAACTGGAGCTGAACTTTGGCTGGACTGGTGGCAACTTCTTCACTCCCATGCCGCAGGCTACCCGCCAGGGAGACTCCTGGCTCTACGGGACTATGGAGCTGCCAACCGGCAGTGTTTTTATTCGCGCTCGGCCCTCGAGAACCACTTCCCGCCTTATTGAGGTGGAACGTCTGCCCTCACCAGATTTTGTCCTCCGTGCTCATAGGCTAGTTGGAGTCGACGTTTCAGTGGACCACGGCGAGCCTTCCTCAAGTAAGCCTAATTATTTCGCGTATTTCGGCTCTACCTTCGTCTCTCTCTCTGCCATACCCAGCCTTTCCTACGTGTTTTGTTGATAATTCGCCTTTTGCCGTTTACCCCCTTTTCGTCACATACTGCCCAATTTTGGATAAACTGGAGCTGTTCACATATGATATCAGGTGTTGTTGTTCCCTGACCTCTATTATTAAAAATAGTATTATGGCAGGGAGCGCTCACCGATCGTTCCTACGGAACTCACTCGTTCTGTTGTGCCTTACTGGCTCTCTCTTTCTCGAACCAAACCAGCAACGCACAGCGGCGCACGATATAAGCGGTATGTTATTACCGACAAAGACAAGGGAGACCGGGATGACCATTTCTGGCTTATTAGCCGTCGTCAGTCAGTCATACCCCATCCCGAAATATTGTTTTGCGCATAAACGTCATCCTTATTGACCATATTTGCTGTCCATAGAAGCTAACACCAATGAAAAGCCACTAAGGTCTCAAGTGAAACTCCCTAATATCCGCACTTTTAATGAGTATTTGTTGGTTTTTGACTACGCAGATTTCGGAAGTACGAACACACACAGCTAGTAAACTTTTCGGATTTCTTGACTTCGTATTTTTGTAGTCTGATCCCTAAAAACTTGATTGCTACTTGAGATGCGTCCAACCCTACCGGAAGTGACAAGTTATCCAAAGTCAAAATCATTTGGAAACAACCGTTTCAGGCATATCACCGCACTATACTTGGCAGTAAATACACACATTTTAAGGACCTTGGAATGCTGAAAGTAGGACGACAGCAGCAAAAGATTAAATTTATCCTTTAGGCCTCTGACCGTGAATCTTATCGTTGAAGACGACTGTTACCACAGGCATACGATAGTATGTAATCGCAGCAAAAAAGGCTGCTTGCGAATGCTGAGCCTGGCGTACTAAAATTGTTCATGTTAAAGCAGGAAGAAGCGTGTATTTTGCATAGACATGGCCTCCGTCTCGTCCGGAAATGTGCCCATGCTCATCTTTAGTCTTCTTAACTTTGTCCTACCATTGGATTACGGTGGGTGTGATAATGGACGATGAGGTAAATGCACTTACTGGAACCCAGTTCACGGCTGCACCCTCTCCGGGACGGTATTTGTCATCCTCGCTTGCGACAGACGAGCCTCCATAAACGACAATGCAGGGAGGAGCGGAGTTTAGGCGCTGGTGACACTCGATAACTACCAAATTATCCGCGAAGTTAGTGCCAAACCGCCTGCAATGAGCGACTCTGTTCGCGATTAATGGTAACTTCATTTTTGACAGCTCGACCGAGGTCCACTGCTATCACTCCTTCCCCATAGCGACGATTTTCGCGGTTCTTGATGTCATCTCCCACATTTCGACCTCATGCGGTCTTTCGACGCTCACGGCGGAACCCTCAGTATTCGCCGTCTACTAGTATTTTGGTCGTACCTCTCTTCCCCATTCGTCGGCTCGGCTCGAAGCGTACTGTGGCCGATCGTGTCTGGGTTTCTCTCGTCTGGCTATGACCGATTATAATCCGTTATATACCGCCACATGCGGGCCAGTCCTGCCCGCATTTTTCTGTTATTATTATTAGCGAGGGTTTTTTTCTCCTGTAAAATTAATCCAATATTTTTTAAATTTTTTCATTAGAGTCTTTTTCACCGCTCGCTCATCATTTTTCTTAGCGGACTACTCATTCAGCAACTATGAATTACATTTTGTACAGATTCCGCCTACCTCGTCTAAGTTCTATGTAAATTTATTTTTGCTTGCTTTGATGGGACCCCGACGGGTCTTTAATAAAAAATTATTAAAATTATTATGACGTGAGCAGTTCGAGCACCTCCCCAGCTTCGGTAACCAACCAATCTAACCATCGCTTTCGCCCGCATCAGAGTTCTATCCCTCTCTAACTTATACAGTGTCATGTGACCCAACACCCGAAGTAGAAATCACCGGTGCAATGCGGAGAATGCACAACAACAAGGCTTCCGGAGGGGATGGTATTCCCACTCAGCCCGTGGCCAAAATCTTCTCTCTGGCGGACTGAAGTATCCATAGTCACGCATGAATGACGTTCACCGACCTGGCCCAATTAATCGGCAAAATATGAACCTTGGGATGTTCCCGAGACCTGCGATTTGCCATTCAGCGAGGGGTAATCGCCAACCATTGTCATGAAAACAAGGAAAGTCGGGATTACTATTTCCCGTTTATTATCATCAAGCAGCGTTACCACACCCAGGACTGCAAGTCCTGAGATCCTGAGCCCAAATCAGCTGGCCAATGAACTTGACGTTCCGACAGTCAAGCCACGGACGCACGCTTTGGTGACTGTAATTCGGGATGCGTAGACTCAGAATGAAATTACTGACAGGACATGCCAGACTGTGGCGGCCATTTCTGGCTTATTAGCCGTCATTGGCCGGCCATACTTAACTCCAGGCTCGGAACCACTAAGGTTTGAACTTGCGTTCTGTGGGTTATAACCCTAACGCTCTAACAACTGAGCCACGGACTCTTTGCCCTGTCGGTTGCGATCGGTTATATTAATTATGGTAGAGGGCGCTTACCGATTGTACTACAAGACCTACGCGTGCCGTTGCGTCTTGAGCCCGAGTGATCTCATTTTGTCTATAATAATGGTCGTTGTGCGGCCGCCCGCGACGCTACAGATCGAGCCCCAAGACAACCGGGCGGGTAGGTTCGGTACTGCGATCAGTGGACACCCTCTACCGTGTTTGTATTCGTATTTTCACACGTTTGCTGTCCTCATCCGATTTTGAAATGTAACATCTGTTTCGTTTGGCCTTGGGGCATACCCGACTAACGATAACAAACAAGCCAGAGATGGGTACTGTTTCGCCGCGGTTCCGGTCCGTAAGTGCTCGGTAGTTGTTCGCCCGCTGCTTGGTGTTCCAAGGCAAAACCGAAAACCCCTGTCCCACCCGTCGAACCTTGCCTCCGTCAGTTTTTTACGAGCCAACGAGCGATTTTATTAATGAATTCGTCATTAAGTTGCTCAACACTATGATCCCTAACTAACAGCCTGACAACTGGATGCAGCCTCAGACCCTCGCACTATACCTCTATTTCCAGAATCTCGAAACTACATTAGCACAGTTTGGTGGCTTACACTAACAAATTGCTTATCTCTCGCCTGAAGGCACCAAATTATTACTCAGAACGCTTTCTCTGCCGCAGTAAAACGACCGGCTTTTCGAATGATCCTGATGTCGCACGGATATGAACACGTCAGTCCATCACATTCGCTATTTGCTTGAATTTTCGGTGAATTGTTTTTAGCTAGTGTGGTCTTGTAGCAACCTATAATAAGCCACAGACTGAAACGACCCTTTCGTTGTCTAACAGTCACCAGTTAATTTAATCCTTTCCCGCCACGACTTTTTCGTCTGGCGGATAGGCAAACTTGGTCCTTTACGGTTGTGAGTTCAGTTTCGCAATGTAGGTGGGGGGATCTTCGTGCATTCAAGAGACCAAATTTACTTTCTGAGGGATATAAGTGCGTTTACTTTGTCTTCACAATTTTAGCACACATGGAATCCTACATATTCCCCTTCAACGCCTGCTCCCGTGACAGTGAGGCCATGCGAATGTGCTACTCTCAATCTCTAGGCTCATGGCAACGGTGGAATCCCCTGGATGATTCTACGAACGTTTCTCCTGCTCCCACCCCGTCGTCTTCCTCCCAGCTCCTCAGGTTCGGTCTCTCTCGGCGGCTTGTCGGCTTCCGTGGCGTAGTATGCACGAGCAGTCTCAGCCTGCACAATTCGACTGCAGTTTTTTCGGGCGAGAGGGCGGCCGATGACTCTACAGAGACCACTGACTCCGACTCCTCCGCTTCATCGCTGCTCGATTCTGTCTCCTCCAGTTCGCCCAACACCTGCATTTCCCCCCTACTTTCCACAGCCCGACCGGACTGCCTTATGTCTACCAAAGAATCTCCGGGGGTTTCCGCCGCCGCCGCCGAGTCGAGTTGCCATCGGAGGCTCCGCAAGCGTCACCCCGTACGGCGCGGGCGCCGGGCGCGTGTCAGCATCCTCAGTCCGGGCAGTTACCTCGTCCTGGCGGGCAGATTAGCTCAAGCGGTGTCTGACCCTCCGGAGCCGCTGGTCTCTGGCGTTTGGCTGATAGACCCGAGTCGGCATCTACCCCGAGCCCCGGTTTTCAGTCTACCTGATCAACTAGGCAGCTTGTTGCATCGAAACTTGGATGGCGTGCGAGTAACAGTGGCGTTGGCCAACTGGTCAGCCCTGGCACAAGCCGCCTCTGCCCCTCCACTGATGCGTTTTCGACGGGCCGTCACAGTTCCGAAGGAAGCCAAGCTCGTCACTGGATTTACAGCCGCCGCCGCCCCCGCTTCATCATCCTCCCTCGTAACCTCAGTACTGCCCGGCGCGGGCAGTGATTCGGACTGATATTGATCTTCTCACTTTCTTTATCCTATTCCTCCCCCCCCCTATACCAACGTTGCCTGCAGTTCAAATGCACTCCGCCTTTTAAGTCGCATGTCTTTCGTCATTAAAGTCAGGATGGAGTATTGTTCTCCCATTCGCCCGCTGACCTGCGGGCATCTTGGTGACGATGTTGCATTTTCTCTTCGCCTTCTATCTGCCCTGCTCTACCTCAAGAGAGTCATCTACTCGCACTGCTGTCTTCTACTCCCTTAGTGATCTTTTGTGTCTAGTTGGAACTGAAGTACAACAGTAGCCGTTAATGTAATCGAATCCACCATATTTCATAACCGGACCCCGAGCTTGCCGTTTATTTCAGATGTTATTGCGAACTGAAAGTCGATCAGGCACTTTTTATAGCTGAGAGTGACCTCCAGTCTAACCTGAGGGAGCACGGGTGCTCAGTTCTATTTTGCACCTCTGACCTATAGGCCTTGCCGGCGGTGACATGGCGATAACCAGTCAATAACTTCGGAATGCTGCTAACACAGACCGGGGTGACTGGAACGACCATTTCTGGCTGATTCGCCGTCACCAAGCAGTCCCACTCCAACCTATGGAAGGGAAGACCTGGGATCTTATACCCGAGTGTGACCGGACGCTTTACTATTTGAGCCTCGGGTTCACGCCCTGCCACTTGGAATCTAAAATAACTAGAAACGCATGAAAGTGTCGTCCAAAGACCTTGGCCATCTTTAGATGGCATGCAGTCGTTCCGTTTTGTCTTAATGCTTTGGTAAGGAGTCTTTTCTGATGGCAGCAGGGACGGCGCGGGGTAGGACTATGGATTAGTATCATAGCAACCCACAATCTACGCCTATTTGTAGGTTGTGAAGTTGAATAAGTGTCATAGGCCATCGAAGTGCACTGAATACGAACAAATTAGAAATGTCTTGGACCCCTGGTGTTCTCCTCGCCAGAGATCGACGCACAAGCTTCTAGCAAAGCCTTCGAGACTGGACGTTTAAGGTCCGACCCGGCCTTTTATGCAAACAGTTGAGTTGGTCGCTACCGACTACAAGATAAACGCATAATCTCCGCATTTTCAAACCGATGGCGATAGGGTCGTTATTTTTGGGGTAACGAGCCGTTACCTTTGATAATTCTATTTAAGGTCTACAACATTCCGAAGATATGCAACTTTTAACTTGTGGACGGCCACTGCCGTACCCTCTTACCTACCCAAAAGTGACTAAAATAAATTGTCAACCCGGCGTGCTATGAGTGCGCTCCTTGATAGGCGGTGAATGGTCCCGTACTCGCAAGATATGTTACTGTCTCGGCCGAGCTATGCTCTTGAGCCGACAACTAGCAAGACGCACCTTGAAGGCATTGACCTTGTCAGAGCGGTGAGGGCGTCGTTTCATTTTTGCACATGCTGTGAAAAGGGCGGATGATGTTTTGTCCGGGAAAGATGTCACCTAAGCCTCCGTACGTACCAACGAAGACGACCTCGGCGCAACTTGAAAAAAGCATTGACAGTCCAAGCCTCTAAACAACTGGAAGGTCACAAAAATTCACCCCTGTCCAGCTCATAACTGATAGCAAACATGCGTCAAACGTACATTCTTTCTGAGTATTGAAGACACCTCTGTGTGGGCAATGTTTTGGTTAAGCATCCCTGGGTTTTTACGATTTGCTTGTGCTTCGCCGAGGACCGCCGTACTTGGGGTCTTTGCTACAGGTGAGGCCGAAGGCTCCGAAATTTTTTTAACTATATTGGCGGCCTGTCTGACGAACATATGCCTGACGTTAATTGACTGTCTTACGTGTCGTCACTTTGGAGGACTGCACTGCGCTAATGAAGTCACCTTATAGAAGAATACGGAGGTCTTTTTCGGAATTTAGGTCTTAGAACTCCGCTGGTGAGGTATTGCCGGGAAGTTCTCTTGCGTCTTCATCTGATTGAGTCTACGTCTACCGTCACGCCCATATCCATCTTCACTTTGTAGCCCATTTATATTCCTTTGCGTTGTGATAGGTCATTATCGTCCATGAAAGTCCTTCAGGAATTCAGGTATTTTGCAAGAAACATCTGGCCCGTCCTTATTCATTAGATCTTTTAGCATCCTTTGAAAATGAGTTACCCGAAGACGGATGCCTTGGTGATGCCACCCATAGTAAGATCTCATATCGATGCCGTGACTCTGTTGCTACGGTTGTTGGGCTAACTCATGAAATGTCGACCGAAATTCCGAAATGCGTTTTCGTTTCGAGAAGATTAATTAAGTAGGGTTGTAAAACAGATCATCATCCAGCGTCATTCTATAATAATTGAGTTACCTCAGGACGCCGACTATCGAACGAACTTCTTTCCGGCTGCATGCAAAAACTACACTTTGCGAAAAATAGCTACTTGAATAGCACACATTTTTCTCGATGATTTTCGATGCCCTTGCGAATTCAATTAGATTTCATTGACAACAGCATAAACACATTCATTTTTTGCTCATTCGGTAGCAAACTACTTCTTCTTTCAAGTTTGTACTCGGAGAAAGAGCATTATTCGGTTTTAAAAAGTTTCTAATTGTGAGATTTTTTAATACTGTGAAATGGCCGTTCATAAAACGTCATGTCTATGCATTTACCAATGTAGCTTGTAAAGTTAACCATAAGGCTCAAATCCACTGCTAAATTCTATGAGTCTCGTATGGTCTCCTCTTAATACCGTAGAGAAATGTATGGTTTTCCGTACGCGGAAAATACACGCCCCGTAGTTTGCAAACCCTTAATCCAAGTGTAACGACGGGTCGGGCTCAAAGTTATTCTGGAATTGGGAAAGTTTTTTAAAACCGAATTATATCCTTCCATCGTGTATAAAGTTGGAAGAAGACGTAATTTCCTACCGAATAAGCAAAAGAATGAAGAATTTTATGCATGTTTTCCAGGCATTATAATTAACTTCTAAAGGGCATCGAAAATCGATGAGAAAAATGCGTGCTAATTAAGTAGTAATTTTTCACAAAGTGTTGTTATTTCGATAGCCGGCATCCTGAGGTAACCTAATTATTATAGAGTTATGTTGCGCGATGGGTATTTTTACAAACCTACTTTATTAATATTTTCAAAACGAAAACGCATTTCGGAATTTCGGTTGACATTTCATGAGTAAGCCCGCCTACTGTATATCCTAGTGACGGTCCATCATGATGCAGGGTGGAATACCTGTGACTCTACTGTCGAATACGCGAGCTCGGGGAGGCAACTCAGTAGCAGGATATGAGATTGCTGAAACTCGAGTTTTATTAGCTTGACGTTTCGGATTCCCACTCCAACCTATTACCGGAGACAGTCACAGAAAGGGGCAATAGAGACACAAGGAGCATCATATTCATAGAACGCAGTCGTCCGACAACCACATGTCTAAAGTAATTACCTGCATTCGCCTGCATCGCTAGGGGTCGCATTTGATGCGGATTATGACTTGTCAGTCCGTATTTGAGTTGTTGAGTGCTTTGGTTTCACCACCATTCTTCATTCTTGGGGTGACGATTATTCGGCAATTTGGCACGCTGTCACCGAACTTGTTAGTCAACCGCGCCCTCCCCGCTTGGTTAATTATTTTGCTAAGGCGAATTCGCAACACAGAATATGGAGGCGGAAGGTCATTGCGTCTGTCAGTTGAATGCGGCCCACGCAGTCGTCACCTCTTGTGAGGATTCCGACCTCGTGAAATGAGCCGCGATCCTTAAAGGTAGCAGCATTCCTCCTCACTGCTGCTGCTGCTGCATGTTCAGAATTTGCGTTCAGGGTATTTAACAAGTTTCTTTGTTGGCAACTGTACCAGGTCCGGTAAACGACTCTGGACATTTCATGCCGTGGCAGCGGATCTTCCGGTCTCACGCTCTGGCGCCGAATGGTTGCCCTCGGTTTGTGTGCAACTCCAAATCCCAGTGGTGCGGGAAGGCGGCTGACGGATTCCGAGACGTTCTTCAAGCAAGGGAGCATCGCCCAACTTCGGAGCCGGTTGGATTTCGTCTCGTCGCGTTTACCCGTGCACCAACTGACGAGTTGACGCGCATAACCATTCGTTCTAAGCACACGTCAAAGATATTTTTAACTCAGAAACCGTGTCTTTTAGTTCGTAACAATGCGTCTCGACAAGCCGGTGTAGCACCCTTGCACAGTTGTGTTTGTGGCCGGTTGGGTGGTTGCTTTTTAGGCCCGGCAGCCTTGTCGTATTAGTCGCTTTCCTGAACATCTTAGTTTTAGGCCACCGCAACCTTTGCGGTAGACGAGGATATCGAGGGAGGCTATTTGGTTGTCCTCTTCCTCCTACATCGTAAATTATGCGTTCGGAAAGACGGCGTTGAGGTGTTCTCTGAATGCCATCTCCTGGTCCCGTTCGATGACGAGCGTGCTGTCTACAAACCGAGATCAGAATTCTGGTCTGCGGTGTTGGAAGACTGGCGACTCCAACCATTGTAGAACAGCCCCAGGTAAGAGTCCCAAAATCGCCGAGCTTATTGCCGTGCCTATCACTTGCTCACAGATTGTTCCGTCGAACGTGAAGTACGTCTCGAGACAGAGCTTCAGAAGTTTGAAGATTTGAGTGTGTTTTTCCGCTTCATCGTATGTGTTCTGTAGGAATAATTCGACGGTATCCGCTGCTAGATCCTGCGAAATAAAAGTAAAAAAGGACGTGACATAAAAAGACACCATGACGTCGTTCTGCAGGAGATTTAGCCCTTTAAGTCCTTCCGTGCACTGCATTGACGAGCCGACTGTGATGTACGAATCGTCGGTCAGAAAGTTAAGGCGTCGAAACAGTCACTTTGCCAGTCCGTAAGTTGGAATGCTTTTGAGTGATATGATGGGTCGCAGAAGAGCACACTCTTCATGAACTTTTGGGAGGCCATAGAAGGGCGCCATGGTCGTTTCTTGCGCTCCCGTCATGCGTCGGTCGACGATATCGCACCTCAGTTCTCCAAGGTCAATAACGTCTCATCGATCTCGCGTATCGG